TTTAAAGCTTCTAATAATATTGATCCTTGTAAAAGGTGTCCCATGTTTAAGGGTCAGTTTGGGGCAGCTGCAACTTATTAAATAATCGGCTGATAAACTGATTAAAAATAATATGTTGATAAGCTAGATACGTTGACTATTAGAAATTTTTATTTTTTTAGAACAGTTAGACCGTTGCCAGAAAGCTGCCACCGCACCTAGATAGGTGCGGTGTGAAAACGCTGCTTTCAGCATTTTCAAAATGCATAAGCTGCCAAAACGCAGTTTACCCAAACAGTCCAGTTGCGTTTTCAAAACGTCACCGCACCAAATAAGTTGTCCCAAATGAACCCTAAGTGATTCCATCACTTTTCTTTTGGAAGGATTGGTAATGAAATTTGTATGCATCTCTCTAATCATTATTAATAATAGTACATTGAACCTTATTCAAATATTTCTTCTAGGGTTTTCCTTTTCTTCAACTATAAACAACTTACCATTAAGAGAGTGAGAAAAGACTTTCAAAGAATAATACAACTTCAAACATACATAATAAAATTAACTTCATAGAAAACAAAATCACAATCAATTGAAACTTAATTGGCAATCTTATAAAAATCAAATGTTTTCTCAAAAGAAGATTCCCCGTGTATTGAACAAATTTCCCTTAACATTACATATCGATGACTGCATACGTCTAAATCCCTTAACATTCCATCTCCACAACTATAATCTCCTAAGTATTATAATCATCCTACTCTAGAATTACAACCTCTGCCAAAAAAAAAAAAACGTATGCATCACAAAGACCCAAATGCTTAGAAGAACTTTATAATGGCATTTCATAACTGCAAAAATTTTCAAGCTTACATATTTGCAAGGGAAGAAATAATTTTTCGTACAGATTGACTATCTTCTTTCATGTGTGCATAGTACAAAGCTTTCAACTCCTCGAAAAAAAAAAGTCTTAGCAAGGGGATTGATGCAGCATAAGGATCTCAAAATGAAGGAAGATGATGAAGGTCAAAAGACATCAATATATCTAAATGGATGGCCTCTTTGGCATGTATTACATAAAAATATTATATTCATAAATGCATAGCCTTACAAGAGTTAAATTTTAAAAAAATAATGTCATAATATAAGCCTATTATCATATTATCTTTATTTCTTATTAAACATGCGTGTGAAAAGAAAGAAAATGAAGGTATGTATGTGAAGCCAATTATCAACACCATGCATTGAAATTTAGCAACCTTACTTAAGATCATGCACTATTTCTTGGGTAAGCTTCCTCATAGATAAAATTGATATTTAGAGAAAGCTAGAATTGGTCATGAAAGTAGAAATATGATGTAGGAGCTTCTCCTTAAGGAGTTTGAGAGGTTTGGTCCTGAAGTAGGTTCCTTCAAAATTTTGAAGTAGTTTTGAATATTGATGTAGTTCTACTAAATGATTTGGAGAGAGTTTAAAGTAACTCCAACATAAAGGTTCTTAATGTGGAAAGTTTAAAAATAAAAGCAAAAAGAATTCATGTAAGTGAGTGTATTTTATTAAATTTTTGCTCATATAATTTAATTTTGTTATCATTCTTATAGCCCTTAAGATTCTTCATGATGTAAATCCTATAAATAGCTTTAAAATTCTATGTAGCGAGACATAACAATTTAAAATGCAATTAAGATTACTCAATTTTCTTCCAAACTTAACCTAGTGATAAATTTGCTATCTCTTCTTATGGTGAGATTGAGTTATTATACCCATCATTTGGTCAAAATAAAGTAGTTATACAATTACACTTCAGCTAGTATTTTTATATAACTAGTATTCTTCTACAACTCTTCAAGGATGTAACATCACTATAGCAATAATTATATAACAATGAAAGGCAATCAGTGTTTGAATTGATCAACGACGGAAAATTATGGATTACAAAGGGCAATGTTGGCGTCAGTCATCAGCAGACGACAATAAATGAGAACGATGAGCATCAGCGATAAACCATGGTGGGGGTTGGTAGCAGTTGAAGTGGGCATCAATCTACTAACACATGTTGTGGACGAATGTATAAGTGGGTTGGTAGCAGACGACAATCTATGATTATGACATGTTGCTGATCTTCTACTAACACATGTTGTGGCTGATGAGAACATTGATATTAGTTTGCAATAAAAAATTGTTGGTGATTGACAGTCACCAGTGGACAACAATCATTAATTGTTATCAATCAATAACATGTCATAATCATTGAAGATCAGCAACTGTCAGCAATGGTTGACAACCAATGAACAGGTGTTAGTAGAAGTTGATAATGGCCATTGGTCAACAATGAACACGACATCAGCAACAATAAAGATCATAGGTGATCAATGGAAACAGACAAGGAAAGTCGATAGTGGTCAAGCATTAGTGGGGATGGTCATGGCAGTGGTCTTAGTGGCTATCAACAGTGGACATCAATGGCAGGCATTATATATGGTAGTGGACAACAACAACGACCGATGAAGTTACCTCGGTGGTGAGCATTGATGATTGGTGATGGGTGTGCTCGAAAATCGATGATGGACATTTACGAAGGTCGGTGACGAGCGGCAACGACAATCTCGGATGGGTGCTAGAAAAAATTGGAGACGAGCATTGACAGTGATCAGTGATGACATCAACCATGTTAATGGCAAAAGTCAATGAAAATTGATAGTGAGTGTCGAAGATGGTAGATGATGAACATTGGGAACTAGCAAGCAGAACCTTAAAAATTACAAACTTCTCTCATCCCACTCTTCATCAACTCATGTTGATTATAAACACTAGAGATTCAAAGAACAGCTCACCCGTCAAATGGTTCTGAAAAGTTCCTCTAATTTCAAGATGTCGTAAAGCTTAAGAATGCATCAAAATTTGTGCTTGATCAGATAAATTTTAAGACAACATGTCAACCTTAGTTATCTTGTGAAAATCATATACTCCTAAGATTTTTTCTAAATGATAGAAAAATATTTGAAGTATTTATTGATTGAAAATATGGCAAAAGGACAATTATAAATAAGTAAGAATGAGGCTCATTGTATAAAAATTCATCCGAGATATACGTCTTGAGGCGCATCTCGAATTAAAATGCTAAAAAACTGTTGAGGCTTGAGCCTCAATGCCACTAATAAGGCTTATATAATATTTATCTGAAATGTACAACTTGGGGCATTTGAGGGAGCGACCAATTATTTTATGTGTATGAATGTATATATATATATATATGTATGTATATATATATGTATGTATATAGTATATAATGGATTTACAAACATACCACATAATTCTTATGTATTTACATCTTTAACACCAAAACTTTAATATTACTAAGACAACGCCCAAATATTAGCATCAAATTGGAAATAATATTAATTTTTGAAGGTAAAATACACCATTGCATGCATACTTTTTTAAATGATAATGACACTAAAATGTTATATAAGTATGTATCGAACTTTAGGTGTTAGATTTGTAAATATATTAGAATTGTGCAGTATGCATGTAAATCTCCCATTATTATATAATATTATATTATATTATATTATCTTCTATAATAGCTCAAAACAATCAAAAGGTAATTTAAATATAGTTAATTAACTGTATAATTAATTATTTTATCTTAAATATATGATATTAATTAATATAAATAGTGAAGATTTGGAATATGCCAATGAAATGAAAAGATAATAACAAAGTAATTATAAATAATGATTTTTTTGAAGATGATGAGAGTAAAGACGAGACTGCCATGAATCTTAATCATCATGATGTATTTAAATTTTAAATGAATATCTTAAACCTCGTTTCAAACTTTCATTTGATATCAACAAATTATTGAGATTTGTGATTAATGTTCTTATGAATCTAAATTAAATAAAAATATTGATAGTTTCATGTCATATTTATGTGTTATTTTTTAATTTTATGATTTTTTTTTTATCTATTGTAAGCCTTAACCCTCAATCTGTCTGGGGCGTATGCCTTGCTAAGGTAAAATACCTCAGTTCCTGGATTTGCTATTTTAAAACATTGATGAGGCCAATTGCATATCAAATTCATAGCTAATGAATATCTAGTTAAAGTAGGTCATCGACCAATCTTGACCTTGTAACCTCTGCCCTAAGAAATAGAAAACATAACATTTTGAACTCGAGCACTCTGATAAATGCTTTATAAAATAACACAATTTAAACATGATTCACATCCTTTAGAGATCAGAGAACAATCTAGATCACATAAGTCATTTGCCAAACTGTTGTTTTAGCAGTATCACATTCACAAAGAGAAGAAATAAATTTGAACATAACTAAAGAAACATTCAGTGGGCAAACAATAAAATCTATGTGGCCTAAAAGCAAGTCCAACACATTGTCAACACCAAGACCTATGTAGCATCTCAAATGTAAAAGAAGCACAATATACGAGAATCCAGCAGACCAACAACACATTTTTATAGCACAATGCATAAAAATAGTGTTGAAAATATGGTAAATTGTTGACTCTGTTTGGCATTTCATTTTTTTTTTTCTTCAATAGATTCATTGCCAGAAACCCTTCCGTTCTCCATTTTCTTGTCTCTTTTATCAAAAGGCAAGCCCACTGAAATCAGTAGAATTGAACTTGAACTCAAGTTTAAACTAGACTGCCTAGTCCAGCTCAAGCTCGAGCTCCATTAGACTCATTTACGCGCATATTCCTCCACACTGTAAATCAGAAAAATAAATAAATAAAGGCTGAAGACGATGCACGGATCTCCCTTCCACTAGCGACAATGAACTGAAGCAAATCTCTCGCATATTAGATAAAATTCAACAAAATACTATTACTTCACAATATTCATGAACAAAAAAAATGCCGATAAATCAACTTTTCCAAAACATTCACGTTACCACAACAATAGGCAAATTGCAACAACAAACACGATAAATGCATCAATCAACAAGAAATCAATACGGATTCTCAAACTCGAAGAACGCAGAGTAATAGAGCGATACCAAATCAGCTGCATTAAACCACCGCCACCACCGCAGCAAACAGATAGAAATACAAGAGCACCTCGAAAACCTGGAATCTCCAATCCCGTGGAAAGACTAGGGACCTTCTTCGAGGTAATGCTACTTAATGCTTCATTGGAGACGGGGCCATTGTTATTTTTAGAGTTAGGTCGGAATTGAGAGCGGAGAGGAAGACGGAGTGGCGCAGAGCGGCAGAGGGTAACTCTCATCACGAGAAGCAGTGTCAGTGTGCGGTAAAACTGGAAATGAGGAGAGAGAAAGAGGGAGAAGATACGGGTAACTGCTTTTTAATTTAAGAAAGAGATAGGAGAGATCGTTAGGTTATCGATCCATGGTTACCGTTTTGGAGCCGATCGCAAGCCAACGTGACGACTGACGATAGTACGTTGCAGTTTAGGAACCAAAAATAAACGGGGACCGGTACGAACGGGTTTGTATGATCGGTTTCGATTTTTGATCCCATCGGTGTGAAAAGCAAAATTAAGACAATAGATTTGTAAATACATAAAAATTATGTGATGATACCGTAGGCTTTAGCATCATATTAGAAATATAATTTTGATGAAGGTTTATGGAGATAGAGTAACCAATTATTGTCTTGACATTGCATGAAAATTTAACGTAAACTCAAGTAATTAATGAGAAGTAAAAAAGAGAAGATACCTCAAGTTTTAATGCGGAAAATCCTAGAAATAGGAGTGGGCTCTAGCGAAGTTAAAATAACTCACTATGAAATGTGAGTACACATATCCAACATTTTTTCTTGAATTAGGGAAGATGAAATTACAGAGTTAATCATTTTAGATGTACATCATCTATAATAGTCATAGTCTGATGGTAATGAATGTAGTTTTCAATGATAGTGAGTTGCAAGGGTCTTAGTCGATTGCTATCGAGACAATAGTTTATCGTGAATATTGTAGATAGTGAGTGTACACTAGCTTGTCGTATATGTCATATTTGAAAGTCATGATAGTGGTTGGTCTTGTGGCTTGCAGATGATTACTTCATGAGTGTTTGTTAACTATATATGACATAGTAAGAAAATGCTAGTGTTGATGGCCACATAGGCTCTAGGACGGTTATTTAAGTCGTAATGGTGAAATGTGATGATGTTTATAGGTCGTTATGGTTGGTGTTGTTAGTTATATGAGTTGTGAACCACGTAGGTCGTAGTTGGGCATGTTGGTCCTTGTGATGAGCTGTGATAACATTTGTAGGCCACATATACTGAAGTCAGGAGTTACACGAGCTGTGAACCATACAGTCCATAGTGATGAATTGTGATGACATTTGTAAGCCGCAGAGGCTAGAGTCGGGAGATGCACAAGATATAAGCAATGTAGGACATAGTGTTGAGCTACGATGACATTTGTAGTTCACAAGGGCCAGATTTGGGAACAGTATGATATGTGGACCGCATAAGTTGTAATTGGTCACATAGGTCTTGGTGATGAGTTGTGATGATGTTCGTTGGCCACTAAGTCTGGAGTCTAGAGCTTAAGTTGGAGTTGTGCACCACATAGGCCGTAGTTGGTCACATTAGTCGTAATTGTATTATGATGATGATAGTAGCCATAAAGGCAAGTTTTGGAAGTTGCACGAGTTGTAAGTTTTATAAGTAATAGCAGTGACCTGCAAAGACATTCAGAGGTCGTAATGGTAGGATTCAAGACCTGCATGAGCTATAGACCACATAAGCCATAGTTGGTCAAGAAAATCATAGTGGTGAGCTATGATAACACTCGTAGGATGGAAAAGCTAGAGTTGGAAGTTGCACTAGTTGTAATCCATGTAGGCCATAATGCGGAGCTACGATGACGTCTGTATGTCATAATGGTCCAAGTGAAGAGCTATACGAGTTGTGGACTAATTGGCTTTAGTTGGTCGGGTGGGCGTAGTGGTGAGTTGTAATAACTTTTTTAGGCCACAAAGATGGGGGTCAGGAGCTGCACGAGCTCCGGACCACGTAGGTCATAATTGGTCACGTAGGTTGTAATGGTGAGCTACAAGGAGAGAGCTTTATGAGTTCATTGAGTCGCCGTCTTCGATGTGCATTGCTATACCATTTTCAAGAGGCGTCGTTGCACACTATGTAGGGTGTGTTATTACATCATCATTGGGGTGTGTCATTACATCGCATTTGAGGTGCATTGTTACACCGCCTTCAAGAGACATTATTGCACTATATGTGAGGTACATGTTACACCGTCATTGGGGTGTGTTATTATAATGTATTTGGGGTGCAACATAATAATGTCATTGGGAGGCGTCGTTGCACTATATGTGGACTGTGTGGTTACACCGTCATCCGGGTGCGTCGTTGCACTATATCTGGGTTCATTGACACACCATCTTTGGGAGGCGTCATTACACCATATGTGAGATGTGTTATTACATTGTCATAAGGTGTATCGTTGCATCGTATTAGAGGAGCAATTGTTGCACCGTCTTTGGAAGAAGTCATTGAATCGTCTGTGGGGTGTGTTGTTACATCATCACCGAGGGTGTGTCGTTGCACCGTATTCGGGTTACATTGTTACACCATTTTCAAGAGGTGGTGTTGCGCCGTATGTGGGATGCATTGTTATACTATCATCAGGGTGCATTGTTACAATGCCATCAGTGTTTTGTTGCACTATATTCGGGATGCATTGTTACAACATCTTTGGGCATCTTCATTGCATCATATGATGGGTTGTTATTTTGCATGATGTCTTGTTCGTTTGTAATGTATGTCTGGATTCTGCATCGCACGTCATTATTCCACAAGAAATTTCATTGCAACGATTCAGGACAACCGACGATGGTCAAAGATGTCTGATGGACGATGGTCGATAGTGGTTGGCAACTGCAAGCGTGGTAAATATTCGTCAGATCTGCAATGCAAAAGCGAGTTAGATTTGAGTTCCTCCTCCAAACTTCAATCGTCTTCTGACTCAAGATCTCTCCATTTCTCTCTCAAGAAGGGGGTAGGGCTCTATTTATAGAGTTCATATTGCAAAATAAAGAAAGAATCGAAACCATTCCAATTGTACGTCATAGGGAGGTTACCCAAATCAAACAATGTTCTGTGGATATTTAAGAGACTTAACAATATCAGAATTGAGTGCTCTTGATATTGTTAGATTATTTTTGTCAATAATCTTAATTTGACTATATGCATATCATATTTGGAATTCATTTGACCTTCCAATTATGTATTGAAAGTTTCCAAAAGTAGTTACATGACATGATCTGAGCTTGATTTGACTCGAATTGGATTATTTTTTAATCGTTGGGTTCATCTCGTCGAGCCAGTCAATTTCACAATAAGTTTGTTGAAATTGTATTTCTAGATGACTTTTAATCAAAATTTGAATATTTTTTCCTTAAAAAATTACCTCGAGATTCGAGCCAAATGATAACTTTTTTATGAAGAATAAATTTACAATATTTTTTTAATTAGATACATATTCTCTTACATATATTTTTAATATGAAAATATTACAAACATAGATATTAAATAATGTTAAATATGAGAATGTCTGAGAACTGTGGGGTTCGAGCCAATTTCAAGCCATTTATAGGTCGTTATGGTTGGTGTTGTTAGTTATATGAGTTGTGAACCACGTAGGTCGTAGTTGGGCATGTTGGTCCTTGTGATGAGCTGTGATAACATTTGTAGGCCACATATACTGAAGTCAGGAGTTACACGAGCTGTGAACCATACAGTCCATAGTGATGAATTGTAATGACATTGGTAAGCCGCAGAGGCTAGAGTCGGGAGATGCACAAGATATAAGCAATGTAGGACATAGTGTTGAGCTACGATGACATTTGTAGTTCACAAGGGCCAGATTTGGGAACAGTATGATATGTGGACCGCATAAGTTGTAATTGGTCACATAGGTCTTGGTGATGAGTTGTGATGATGTTCGTTGGCCACTAAGTCTGGAGTCTAGAGCTTAAGTTGGAGTTGTGCACCACATAGGCCGTAGTTGGTCACATTAGTCGTAATTGTATTATGATGATGATAGTAGCCATAAAGGCAAGTTTTGGAAGTTGCACGAGTTGTAAGTTTTATAAGTAATAGCAGTGACCTGCAAAGACATTCAGAGGTCGTAATGGTAGGATTCAAGACCTGCATGAGCTATAGACCACATAAGCCATAGTTGGTCAAGAAAATCATAGTGGTGAGCTATGATAACACTCGTAGGATGGAAAAGCTAGAGTTGGAAGTTGCACTAGTTGTAATCCATGTAGGCCATAATGCGGAGCTACGATGACGTCTGTATGTCATAATGGTCCAAGTGAAGAGCTATACGAGTTGTGGACTAATTGGCTTTAGTTGGTCGGGTGGGCGTAGTGGTGAGTTGTAATAACTTTTTTAGGCCACAAAGATGGGGGTCAGGAGCTGCACGAGCTCCGGACCACGTAGGTCATAATTGGTCACGTAGGTTGTAATGGTGAGCTACAAGGAGAGAGCTTTATGAGTTCATTGAGTCGCCGTCTTCGATGTGCATTGCTATACCATTTTCAAGAGGCGTCGTTGCACACTATGTAGGGTGTGTTATTACATCATCATTGGGGTGTGTCATTACATCGCATTTGAGGTGCATTGTTACACCGCCTTCAAGAGACATTATTGCACTATATGTGAGGTACATGTTACACCGTCATTGGGGTGTGTTATTATAATGTATTTGGGGTGCAACATAATAATGTCATTGGGAGGCGTCGTTGCACTATATGTGGACTGTGTGGTTACACCGTCATCCGGGTGCGTCGTTGCACTATATCTGGGTTCATTGACACACCATCTTTGGGAGGCGTCATTACACCATATGTGAGATGTGTTATTACATTGTCATAAGGTGTATCGTTGCATCGTATTAGAGGAGCAATTGTTGCACCGTCTTTGGAAGAAGTCATTGAATCGTCTGTGGGGTGTGTTGTTACATCATCACCGAGGGTGTGTCGTTGCACCGTATTCGGGTTACATTGTTACACCATTTTCAAGAGGTGGTGTTGCGCCGTATGTGGGATGCATTGTTATACTATCATCAGGGTGCATTGTTACAATGCCATCAGTGTTTTGTTGCACTATATTCGGGATGCATTGTTACAACATCTTTGGGCATCTTCATTGCATCATATGATGGGTTGTTATTTTGCATGATGTCTTGTTCGTTTGTAATGTATGTCTGGATTCTGCATCGCACGTCATTATTCCACAAGAAATTTCATTGCAACGATTCAGGCACAACCGACGATGGTCAAAGATGTCTGATGGACGATGGTCGATAGTGGTTGGCAACTGCAAGCGTGGTAAATATTCGTCAGATCTGCAATGCAAAAGCGAGTTAGATTTGAGTTCCTCCTCCAAACTTCAATCGTCTTCTGACTCAAGATCTCTCCATTTCTCTCTCAAGAAGGGGGTAGGGCTCTATTTATAGAGTTCATATTGCAAAATAAAGAAAGAATCGAAACCATTCCAATTGTACGTCATAGGGAGGTTACCCAAATCAAACAATGTTCTGTGGATATTTAAGAGACTTAACAATATCAGAATTGAGTGCTCTTGATATTGTTAGATTATTTTTGTCAATAATCTTAATTTGACTATATGCATATCATATTTGGAATTCATTTGACCTTCCAATTATGTATTGAAAGTTTCCAAAAGTAGTTACATGACATGATCTGAGCTTGATTTGACTCGAATTGGATTATTTTTTAATCGTTGGGTTCATCTCGTCGAGCCAGTCAATTTCACAATAAGTTTGTTGAAATTGTATTTCTAGATGACTTTTAATCAAAATTTGAATATTTTTTCCTTAAAAAATTACCTCGAGATTCGAGCCAAATGATAACTTTTTTATGAAGAATAAATTTACAATATTTTTTTAATTAGATACATATTCTCTTACATATATTTTTAATATGAAAATATTACAAACATAGATATTAAATAATGTTAAATATGAGAATGTCTGAGAACTGTGTGGTTCGAGCCAATTTCAAGCCATACATGGATTAGCTCAAACTGGCTCGAGATCTGAAGTACTTTTTTTATAAAATCTATATATATAGTTTTAAATAAAATTGAAAATAAGAAGCAACAAGCCAATTTAGAGCTGAAACATATCAAAATAACTCATATTAAAACAACTAGCTTCGATTTTGAGGCAATTGTGAGCTAAAATGTATCCAAATAACTCAAATTTAGCCGGCTTCGATTTTGAGCCAGATCAAGCTCGATTCAATTTCGAGCCGAGTTGGCTTGAAATTGAATATAACGAGCCACGAGTCGATTTCAAGATGCACTCAATCTATTCAAGCCAACCTCAACTCAACTCGAAAGCACTCGATAACAGCCCTATCTGTATGTTACCACACAAGTCTGATGTGCGCATGGAAATGCATATTTCACCTTTAATACTAGTAAATTTATGTATTTACATATCATTATTATCAATTATCAGTAGACACTTAGTGCAAAACAGAGTTAAACATAAGTATGAATTCTAATTATCATACTTTGTTTGGTCCTGAATTTATTTTCTTAATCACATGCAATTACAAATTTACCCTTGAGGTATCATTTCTCACATTTAATCACTATACTTATCTGCTAAAATGTTCTTATTCAATGCTGTCAATCAGATCCTGCTATGTAGTTGTTGACTTGCTCCTCTAAATAATGTTACAAGCAATGACTTTTAACAGCACAATTTTTATCACCCAAACTTGGATATTTACAACCATGCCCTTTAAAAGTGTTAGGTATAAAATAAATTAGCATTTTAGCACCAATCTTAAATTAATGAAAAAAATGTTACTTTGTAGGGAGGCCATATTATTATGATTTATTTAATTACTCATAACTTTTGATCATATATGCAATTTTTAACTTTGCATTTTTACTATAAAGATTAGCATATTATTAAATATAAATTAAATAGTAATTTACCACAAGTAATATGAAATGCTTGGTTAAGTGTGCTCTCTGAGAGATTCCTAACCACCAAACTGATGTAACATAAGGAAATAAATCAGGGTTAAGGAGACCAAGATCCAAGAGTATCTATGTCTAAAGAGAAGACACCCTTCAGTTTCATTATTTTTCTTAATTTAAATTTTGATTTTTTTTTTTTTTGGTGTCTTATTGTTTTTATAATAATTTAATATTTATGAAATTTGCAAGCTTGTTAGAAACTTCTAAAAACCCGAGGTATGGGTGTTTAAAATTGATCGGAAAAGCTAACTTGACTTGAACCCGACTAGAAAATTAGAGTTCTGGTTGACCCGAGTAATTTTTGGGTTGGATTCGGGTTAAATATTATAACCTGATTAATTTTTCGATCCATGATGTGTAAGGCAAAGCAGAAGGATGTTGCGGAAATAAAAGCGGTGAAATCACGTTAAATTGGCTCATGTCAATACCTCAAATTTATCTTATTAATTGTTCTCGGGTAATTTCATAGCTCGGTGCAACTTGGTTATTAAAGTAAAATAAAAGTGTGTAATTGTCATTTCAAGGTTAATCATAATTAATGTTCAATAACTTAGCAATTTTCTTAATTTCCTTCATACTAAACCCAATAAATCCAAAAAAATCTTAAATTGGAGTTAAAATATTTTCACTGGCCTACAAAGACGCCAGCCCAAAAATAACCTGTCAACCCTAAATTGATTTGAAATCGACACACAAATCTTGCGGTGTGTTGGTGGTGCGGCACAACACCGCAGTTTTGTCTATTTGTTTAAACTGTGTTTTCACATCTTTTTCAAATAGTTACCTTTGAAATCTGTGTTTTCCCAACGGCCCTAGCTGGGTGCGATGACAGATTTCTAGCCGCGATCTGACCTTTTCAAAAAAGAAAAAATATTATAATTGTCACCATAGTTTTTTAAACATCAGATTATTTTTCAACAGCTTCACAACTATTTTTTAATATGTTGCAGCTATCCTAAACAAAACTCTTAGTTATAGGTGTAACATATGAACTCTTGGTATAAGAAAACCATACTTGTGATAATCAGTGTGATGCACTCTTTTAGCCTTCATGAACTCTCAGAATGTTATCCCGAGGTCTTAAGTTGAATAATTCTTCGAATAAGTCGAACATTTATGAACCCTAGAAGTCGTTATGGTTATATCATTAATAATAATCCTATCCATCTTGCTAAGTGGTGCAATAGTAGTAGATGGAAGCATTATCAACAACATGATTACAATATGTAGTCACTTGAGTGTGGCAACAAAAAGATTTTTTTTTTTTTTTCTTTATGATTGTAAATAATTCAAAGAATAGTAACTATAATCTAATATATGGACATGTGGCTATAAATTTTTGGGGCACTTGCATACATATCACACAATTCTTATCAATTTACATATCTAACAACTAAAGATTTATATTTACATGCATACCATTCAAATCTTTAACATTAGATCAAAAATACCATCATAATCACCTTTTTAAAAGTGAAGTATACATTTTCATGAATAGGTTCATGAAAACAAAGCATTATAAGTGTAAATATCAAACTTTGGTAGATTAGGACGGTGGTATTTTTGAAGTGCTTCGAAAGATTTGGGTGGTATAGAATGTAAAAAAAAAAATAAAGTTTAAATGTTAGATATGTAAATACATAGGAATTGAATGGTAAGTATGTAAATGCCCCAAAAAAGAATTAGCCCTGCTCTGCATTATTATCAACACAAAGTTGAATCAGTAAATAACCAGAATGACACCAAGCATCTGAAGCTCAAATCCAGATCAAAATCTGTGAAACAAATTCAGAAAAAAATTACAAATATATCCCAGGGTTAAGAATGCAAAAAAGAGCCATTTTAAAGCATTTTAACCATTAACATTACAACAAAATCACATCTTACATCATTCCATCACAGCAACACCACCAGCTGCTTTAATCTTCTCTATAATCCCACCAGCCTCCTCCTTGGTGATCCCTTGCTTCAGAACAACTGGTACCTTCTCCACCAAATCCTTGGCTTCCTTCAATCCAAGATTGGTGAAGGCTCTGACTTCTTTGATCACCTTAATTTTCGCCGCAGCGTCGAACTTCTCGAGCTTGACATTGAATGCCGTCTTCTCGGACTTCTTTTCTTCGACCTTTTCGGGAGCGGATTGGGAGCCGGCGGCGAACCCCAACCCTTCGGAAGATATTTTTTGCAACCTTAGATGCTTCAGCCGGTGTTGGAGAGCAGGATCGAGCTGCAAAAGCTCTTCGGGAGGGAGCGAGGCGATTCGTGCGGCGAGCTGCAAGATCTTCTCGGGCGGAGGGGGGCGCGGTCCGTATGGGTCGTAGAATTCGGGATATTTGTACCGCTTTGGTTTGGGATGATGTGCGTCGTTAGGAACGTGGTTGGAATAAAGGCGAGAGAATTGGGATAGTATTGGATGCTTGGTTGAGGAGTTGGAAGGAAGGAGGATTCTCAAGGTAGGAGAGAATCTCATTGAGGAATGGTTGCAGGATTGAGCCTTTACTTCACTTTTTATGAAGCTTTAATACACCTTCGCTTTACCTGTAGGAAATAAAAATGTCATGATTTATGTTGTAGAAGGGGAAGCAGGGGATTAGATGAATAAATGGGGGAGTTGCAGGAAATCAGCTTCGCCATTAAAATGAACTTTACTTTATTACAGGGGATGTAAATTTCAGAAAATCATAATTGAAATTGACAAAACCAAACAAGGATAGAAATATCAGCAAAATGAATGAAAAATGTCAAAGCAAAGAAATAGAAGCTTCATTGAATCAATGAGGATGTTGCAGGTTGATTGCTTGCGAAATTTTTACTGAAAAATAAACTCTATGACTAAAATGACCGCATGCTTAAATCCTTCCCATCAAAAACAGGAATCAGAAATACAAGAAAATCTATTCCGGATCGGATTAGACAAACCGGTAGTATTTTTTTTTTTTTCAAGGCGGGGTGAACGCCCAAACCCAACATTTTAGGATTCTTCACTTTGTTTTCGATCAATGTGCTATGCATTGGAGCACGGTAGTCGGTAGACTAAAATTTAAAAAATATTTTGCATCAGGATATCCGATAAAAATTTGAGCAGGAAAAATCTCAAAGTTATTGGATCTACTTCAAGTTTGAAATGAGTGCAATAAACAAACAAAGGATCAATTTAAACTTGTATCGCACTCATTTCAAAGCAAATCCATTAAATTTTAAACTCATTATAACAAAAAATTTGTATCTGGATATCCTGATCTTTTTTCCCCCCTAAAATTTAAGCCGATTCCAGGCAAATCATTTTGCACAAAAGGGCACATTACATTAGACTGCACAATTCAGGAAGATCTCCTTACCTGTAAATCAAGCATGAGAATCCTCAGTCATTAACCCAAAACTAATATTTGCTTTGGAATCACCTAAAACCTAAATAATATGCTCTAAAATCAGCAGAAGCCTAAATTTTATGATCTGAATAATCACAGTTCTATCTATGAAATTTCATGATTATGATTAATCTCATAACCCAAGCTTCCATATTCTACAGTTTGAACAAAAAATTTCCACTACGATTAGAAACAATAATAATCCGCCACTCAAGCAAACAAATGATAACTAGATGAATTTTCAAGTGAGCTAGCATGTTGAGTCCATATAGCAAAAATATTTATTTTCGTTCTTTTTTCTCTTTTTATTTTTAAAAGAGTCGTCAGTTTATCTATCATCGTATACTTCCCTTTTTCGAATAAACATCTCTTCCGGATCATATGAATGATCAGGAGAACAGAGAAACCGGAAAAAAACGGACATACGATAAAGACGACAAACAAGATAAAGAACGTGAAGAGTCTACGTGCGATAAACCTCACAATGATGGGTCAAGTATGTCCGCCCAAATAAGATCAGGCGAAAGCACCTTAAACCAATATCCGCGAAAGAATACCTAAGTAGACTACCCACAACAAAAAATTCAGGCATGTTTGTCTGTTCTGGCATCTAGTGTGCTCCCAAGGGGATGTATCCTTTTTTGTTAATTACATCTTGGGGGTTGCCCAAGAATACTTTTGATCCAAAGGAATTTTGCTTACAATAACAGTGACAACTAGCATAGGGCTATTAAACGATGGTTATCTCGCAGGGGAATGCTTTAATGCTTTCAAAGCACCCACCAAGCCATGAAACGGAGAGTGAAACTCTCAAGGTATTATGTGGGTAATAGACTCATTGACATACGGGGCTTGCAAAATAACAGAATAATACCGAAGGGGAATCTCGATACGTCAAAGTATATCCGGGTCATAAGGCCAGAGAAAAAATCGTCATATCGCAAACGGGCGGCAGCTCATCAACAAGCATGTCGTCGAGATGATGCCAACGAAGACAAAAGGAACGACAGAGCTCAACAGGGATAGCCAAAGAAAGGGAGGAGTAATCCCTAAGAGGTTGAGGTAGTCGAGTCAGGGTGCCACGGACCCGCCATCCCAAACCACTAGGACCCTAAGTCTACCTAGTCGTGAAAGTAGCCGACCTAACATGTCCAGGGATCCCCAATCAGCAATCTGTGAATTGTGCAGCCCGCAAGGATCTAGATAGCCCTAAGATCAAAAAAAGAAAACTCTATCCTATGACTATTGGGTGGAGCTCCAAAACAAGTAACTTATACCCACTGAAATAACAATGATGTCGCTGAAAAGGAAGAGAAATGGAGATTCAGCTACAAGGCTAAACATGCTCCCAACAAAAGGACTTGCATCACCTCGTCTGGGACTGGAAGCCTTCTAACGACCTAGGCGCACTAAACAACCTCCTATATAAAAAGATATATTGGTCCAGTCATGTTGAAGAAGCGTGGAGGTTTCTCCTCTTGACATGCAAATGAAGCAATTATTTAGAGCGATTCTTAGATATTGTAGAGGTTTTATTATATGATTTGGGTTATGCCCATACAATGCAACTCATTTTAAAACCGGTTCGAAGGCCATGCATGAAAGTAAAAGAAATATTATACAAATCTTGAATCTTTTAATCTTAAATTTTAATTTATCTTAAATCTTTCATTAGAATTTATATAGAGAAAAATTTACAATTTTAAGGTCCTTGAGCGCCTAAATTGTAATTTTCATAACATCCCAAATAAATAAAAAAGAAACAAGAAAAACAATACAAGCATGCAAACATACAATAGAAAGTAAAAAACACTCCAAAATATATAAATGATGGGTCTGTCGTGGATGCAGTAACCCGAAAGGGGTGGGCATGCCATAGAGACAGTGGTCCAAAGAATGATGCTCCTCACTGGGGAGAATTATATAAGTGGAGTGAGTGTATGAATGAACACTCAAAATGCATCTCAAGCAAGTGATAATGACTATGCAAGATGTCATGCAAATCATATAACACAAGATGTATTGTGTTTGGTCACTTAGGGAATAGAATGTCATCAGGGAGAATTACACCTTGTCTCAATAACAACCAGACACACATGAAAATGACAAACATATATAGGGTATAGTGCACCATACGAGCAAGCAAACAGACTCATGCACATGCGCAACATACATTATGCAATTGATCGATTGACCAGGTCAGGGCGGCACGACGAACCTAAGTGGTCGGTCAACCAGACCAAGGAGGCCGGTCGGACAAAGTGATTGGTCAATCAGACCGGGGCAGCCTGAAGAAACAAATTGGTCGAACGACAAGGCCGGAGCGGCCGGTTGGACCCAAGTGACAGGTCGACCGACTCGAGGTGGGTAGTTGAACCCAAGGGAAGTCTTGCGTGAGAGGAGGCTAGGCGACTAGGGACTCCGGCAATAGAGAGACCCGGCGAGAGGGCTTATCAGCAGGTGAGCGTCGGACAGGGATCGTCGGCGAGAGAGTTCGGGGCCAAGAGGAGTAGTGCACACGTAAGGAATTGGAGCTGCTGGGGCTCAAGAGGAACGCCAACCATGGAGCACCGGTGACAGGGAGGCGCCGGCGTGGGCTTCGCCGGCCGGTGCGCGGTGCGAGGGAAGTGCGACGCGAAGGGCTAAGGCATTGATCAGGCTCTAGGGAGAGAGGCGTGCGTTAGTTTGCTTTAAAGATTTTTTGTTTTTTTTAATTTATTATTATTATTATTATTATTATCATTATTTATTATTTAAAAGCCTCAATTCGCACTTTATTGGGTTGTGCACGAAATTATAGCGAAATGGGTATCCTCCCTAGGCAAAATTGACGTTCCAGACGCACTCTCACTGTCCATTTCATCATTCGGGTAATCTGGCTAAATTCACTGATGGACAACCCAATTTAGGCAGTTTCGCTTGCAGCATGACAGATGAGATCTGTTGGCTCGATCAAAGTTGTCTGACAGACAAAATGTCAACCGGTATTTGCTTAAAAGATGGCGAAAGTCTAGCAAAACAACCCCAGCCACTTGCCCCTTCAATGTGCGTTGGCGTGTCTGAAATGAATGTCTCGCACTACTAGAATCAACGCATGCATCAAACAATGTTTCATAGCGCTTGAACGTGCATCCTACACTAACAACACCAAAAATTAATGCCAACCTTACAAGCCAATCACCACTCACTGATGAATATAGACTGCAATAATACCCCAAACCTCTCATTTTAGACTTAGGCCCCGTTTGGGACAGCTTAAATGTGCGGCGACGTTTTTGAAAACGCCGCCGTAGCGTTTGGAAATCACGTCTCCCCTGCGTTTTTGAGAACAACTTTTTTTATTTATGTTACACGCGGATCGCGGGTATATCCCCGCGATTCGCGTTTCGGCTCCAAATTTCCCTTCGGCTACCCTCAACCCCGCAGCCGCCCTTCCTTCGCTCCTCCACGGGTATATCGCAAGTGTTGCTCGATCTCGCCTCCGTCGCTCCTCCTCCACAGGTAACAAAACAATCACGTCGTCCCTTCTTTCCCCTATTTCGCCGAGAGATCTGAGATTGGCAAGAAATTTCAGTAGATCCAGTTTCACAACACTCGCAATCTTGCCTCCCTTCCGGATTCTGGTTTTCCTTGCTCGTTCTCTCGGTAATGTTGGTCGATTTCTCGGTGTTCTTGGTCGATCTTAGATTTTGTGGGTTGCTTGATACTCTTGCTGATTTGCTCGACATTCCTGTTGGTTGCTCGACAGCTTGCCTTTTGTTTAAAAAAAATTTCTGTTCGGGTTTGCTCGTTATTCTTCTCTTATGCTCAAAGATTTTGCTTCGTTGCACTCCTTCTTTATGGTTTGTTTACTTTAGCTTTGCTTGATGTTAGAAAGTGGTGAGCACAGTGTAGGTTGGAGGTAATGCAACTGCTAATCTATTGCAGAAATCTTGTGGCTGCTCTTTTTTCTGTTGAAAGAATTGTTTCATGATCTTTTGATCAG